TTTGCTATTAGAAGATAATGAAGTTTTGTTTTTGATATTGTTGTTTTTGATAGTAAAGTTTTCATTATTGGTATCATTTTTCTTGGTAGTGAAGTTTTATTATTGATATTATTGTTATTGGTAGTGAAGTTTTCATTGTTAATATCTTTGTTTTTATAGTAAAACTTTGTTTGTTGATATTATCATCTTTGTGATGAAGTTTTTATCATAGTAAAGTTGAATTTTTTGATATAAAGTGAATAGTTTAGTATTTTTTTTATTATACAACAATATTTGTTATGTAATGATATTTGTTATATAATAATATTTATTATATAATAATATTCATTACATAATAATTTTTGTAAAAAATTTTTTTATATAAATTAACTAGGCAAAAATAAAAAACTTGGTTTTTTTTTTTAATAAAATCATATATTGTATATGATTGATCTTTTTTATATATAATTTTTTAATAAATTAAAACAATAAAGTTATTAATAAAATAGAGTTTTAAGCTATAAAATTTATAGTAAATGTTTATAAAAAATTAATAAATTTAGATTAATTCGAAATAATTTGAATTATTTCAAAATATTTTAGTAAATATTACTATAAAAAATTATAGTTTATTATATTTTTAATTTAGAATATTTTAATATATTTTAAATTGTTTTGAATAAATTTAAAATATTTTTAAATTAATATTTAATTTATTTTATAAAAATTGGTATTTCTGTTCTAATAAACTCAAATTATTTTAAATTATCTCAAATTATTTTAAAATATTTTTAAATTAATATTTAATTTATTTTATAAAATTGTTATTTCTGTTCTAATAAACTTAAATTATTTTAAATTGTCTCAAATTATTTTAAAATATTTCAAATTGTTTTGAAATTATTTTGTAATATATTGTGTAATATTTTATAATAATTTTTGTGTAATATTTTGTAATTAATTATTGTACAATATTGCATGTTAATTATAATTCTTGTGCAATATTATGAGTTATAATATTTATATAAGATTATATTTATATATTTTGCTAATGAAAGCTAATTATACTCATTATAAAAAGCTATATTAAATATTAGTAACTTTAAAACTAACTGAAATATAACCAAAAACACCTCTTGTTTTCTATAATATTTAATTTATTTTGTTTACTACTCTCTACTTTTTGCTTCTTTATATAACTTTGTATAACTATAAATTACTATTTTATATATTACTATACTATAACTATATACAATTTTATATTTACTATAAAATCTTAAAATAGCAAGCATAGATATTATTTTTAAAATCATATTTTCTAAAATAGTATATTTAAATTCAAATAGTGTTTATATATATTTCAAAATAAAGTGTATCTTACTATTATATATTTTGAAAAAATCTAGATTTAAAAATATTAAAAGTCTATTAGATTTAATCTAGCTCTAGTTTTTAAAAGTTTAGGTTTAACTTAGCAGTTTAATATACAATATAAATAATCTTAAAAACAAAATACTAAAAGGATTTATTATTTTTTTATTAAATTTTATCTAAACTAGTTGGCAACTAATTGATTAGCAAAATTAAAAATTTGTTAGTCAAAATTATAAGGAGTAAACAATCTTTTGTAAAAGCATCTTTGCAATGTTATTTAATCTATCAAATAGAATTCTTTTGATTATAAATTCATAATTAAAAATTCTGACTAAAACTTTTTAATATAATCACATCTTTATTTTTACTATTCTCTTTATAAATTGTTATATTGTGACTATTGACAAAATACAAAATATTTTTTAATCAAAATTACTATAATCATTAATTTTTATATATATAAATAATTTTTTTCTCACTAATAATAATAAAAATAGAATTAAATAATAAATATTCATAAACTTGAATAGCTTATATTAAATATTTATTAATAAATATTTTTATACTTATGAATTAAATAAAACAAAATTAAATAAAAATATCAAAGATTATTTTAAATACTCAGATTAATAAATATTAGAATAATTGAGATTCAGGTAAAATCATTAATATAATTTTAATATTTATAAACTTAAATTACTTCAAATTATTAGTGAATTTAACTATTAAATTAAATTAACTATAAACATAAAATAAGTATAATTACTAGCAAGTTAATCTCTAATCTTATTACATATATAGATTATAAATAGTTTTTTTAAACTAATCTGTAGTATGTAAGGCAAAATAATAAATCAATATTGACATAAAATTATCTACTTGTTTTATAAATACTGTATAAGGACAATTAAATGTATATAATTTTGTAATCTAGTAATTAGTAACAAATATTTTTATATTTTTATAATAATTAATATTTCATAGAATCATTTAAGAGAAAAATATTTTTTTTATAGAATACTAAATTAAAAAATAGCTCTTTTTTTACTTTATAAGAATATAGGAGGAATTAATAGAAATAGAACAAATTATTTTTAGTGATTTTTTTTTAATTTTTAAATTATATTTTTTTGACAACTACTTAACCAATTTTAATAATTTTTTTTTATTTTAATTCCAGAGTTATCTAGGAATTAAAATAAAAAAAAAATTATTAAATTTAATAAGATAGTTGACAAGATATTTAAACTTAAAATTAAGAAAACTTTTATTTAGAAAAATTTGTTTCATTTCTATTGATTTCCCCCTATATATTGATTTATACAGAGCAAGTACAAATAAAAGTAATATTTATTATACAGTATTTAATTTTCTAAATACTTGCAAATTTTAGATATTTTTGAATATATTATAGTCTTATATATTGATATTAGATTTATATTTTTTTGCTTCAACGTGTATCTAACAATATTTTTTTAGTAATATTTATTATTGTTTCTGTAGATAAAATAGACTAATCTTGGGTTTGTTAGCTTTGGGGTGGTAATTGAAGTTAACACAACTATTTAAAAAGTAATACTAATTCAGTTAAATATAATATCAGTCAGATATCAACTTCAGACATGAAATATCATATATATTATATAGTTTTTATCATATTTGATAAATAAAATAGCATATTACTATTATAAATAAATTAAGTAAAAATATATACAAGCAAAAAAAAATATTATTAGTTATTTAACAAACTCTTATAATTATGAATTTACTTCTGTCTGTTATTTTTTTTATATATTATAAAATATTTATATTTATATGAATTAAAACTCAACTGATGACTTCCTACCAATCATGATTATAAATTATTGGATAATACCATTATTTGGCAAATTTTTGAACAATAATTTGGCTCAATTGGGCAAATAATTGGCTAACATGTGCTACTTTGTGGCACGTATTTATTTGCCTGGTTAAACCAAATTACTGTTATTCAAAAATTTTTGCCGAATAATATATACTTATCTGACAAACTTATATGATCATGATATAGCATTGCTTTAATATTGTTATAAAATAGATTTTTATAGTATTTTAATATAGAAATTTTAGTCTTTATTAACTTAGTATTATCTATTAAAAATATATTATTATAGTTGACCCTTCCAAAACTGATCTTGTCAAAACTGATAACTTGCTATAATTGGTTAAAAATCAAGCTACCATATTTGTTCTATAATTAATATCTGATAACTTGCAATTTTCGATAACTGATAGTCTTTATGCCTAAGTTTCTGATTTGTTAAATAATATCACATGAATAATATCTAATCAAATCATATAAAATTCACTACTATGTGATTTAATGTTACAGTCGTATATATGGACTGTTCTTTGCAGATCAAATTTATGTATATTTCAAATCTTTCTATAAACTTGGCCATTTACTATACATTTATTGAAGGCTTTAAAAACTTACCATGCGTGATCTATATCAAACCAGATACTGGCCATTTATGGTATACAAAATTTGCATTAGCGATCATGTCAAAAATGAATTTAAATCTTTATTTTATATATTCTACTAGCAAAATGCTAAGCAAGATATAATCAACGCTCTATACTGATAATTGACTAGTCATTTATTTATTTAAAATATTTTTGTCTACTATATTATTACTGTGAAATCAAAGTTATAATTTTTTTTTTATAAAACTTACTTTTATTTTATTCAAGCCTTTGAAAGAATTGATCCAGTGTTGATTGAACTTGTTTTTGGCCTCTTTCTTTCAGATTTCTTCACGAATATGTGATTGAAGCTTGCGCAAAGACTTTATTGTTACCTCACCATTATTAATCCTTTTATCAACAATTTGCAGAGTGCTGTGCAGAATATCCAACTGTTCTCTTTCAGTTAAGGGTTGTATAATGACTTCATTTTCTACATAGTCTATTTCTGTAGCAGCTTGAATAAAATCATCATCATTAAATTGTTGATGTAGCTCTATATTTTTCTTCTCAAGGTTTAACAAATCTTCAATAGGTATAGAATTACGAATATGCAATGCATCCAGTATTTGTTAAAGTTTCTTGGTAGCTAATTCATTATCATAATTAAAAAACAAAGTTTCTTCTATATTTTCAATAAGAGGAGTGGGGAGGTAGAACAACTAGTACTTCATTTTTATCATTTGGAGATATGATTTTTATATAGAACCAGCAATTTTTGATTATACTGGCAGATACTTCATTCCAGGCAATCTTTATTTTTATTGATATTTTAGCTAATTAAAAAATTATAAACTAACAAATTTTTAATTGAATATAAGGCCACAGAAAATTAATCAATTGGTTTTCATAACCCAGCCGGGTCAAAATTTAGAAATTCAAAAAATTTTTTTTTTTGTATATTTTAATAACCAGATGAGATTTTATAGCTGTTTTCGTAAATTCTGGAACAACTAAGACAACTGATAAAAATTGTCTTAGCAGAATTTGATAAGTTTGGTGTTATTGGTATTAGATTTTAGCATTGCAATAATATCGAAAATACTGAATTCAAAACTTATCAAATTCAGCTAAAACAATTTTTATTAGTTGTTTCAGAATTTATGAGAACAGCTATAAGAAGACTTTATGAAAATTTAATAGGCAAATCACGAGTCACCTAAACAAATATTTTTTTTTTTTATATATAAATTTTACTATAAGTCTGAATATGCAGC